ACATTTGAGGAATCCGTGCGCGCCACCCATCTCGCTGCTGGCTTTGCCCCATATGCATCCTTGTGGCCCATAACAGTTCGATACTGCACAGTGTCGCTCGCACTTGCTTGGACACAGCCGGATGTGAAGCCACCAGAAGGGGAAAGAGCCCTGACAAGACTTGAGGCAGCATCAGACCAAAGGTTTGACGGTCCTCATTGGTTACTGGGACAACTGGTCTATTACAGGGTTAGTGACAAGACCAAGCTTCACAAATTTGGTGGCGCATGTCTCCCAGGCATTTTTGCGGGGTGGAGGCTCGAGAATGGATGCCGTTTCAGGGGGGTTGTAATCATACTGGACTACGAGAAGCTCCGCGCACAGGCACCAGGTTTTGAGAACACCATTGCAGTGCCACAAGAAGAGGTAGTGTTTGACGATCATTTGACAATGCCTCTCAAAACTTCGCACCGCCAGTCCTTGGCAGGATTCAGTATGGAAGATCCTTCAAAGATCCCTCCAATCAGCATTCCTTTCAGCGATGAGGCGATGAGCCCATTGAGATGCCAGCCAAGACCCGTGCAGAGTACATCACACTAGATCGTCTCATCAAGTACGGTGGCACTGACAACTGCAGGGGTTGTGAAATGCTGACGTCCAGGCATTCGAAAGCATGCCGAGACCGGTTCAACCGACTGATCAGGGCCGACAAGCCGGTTCCAGTTGGAGCAAAGCGCATCCCCATCATCGCTGAAACAATCCTGGAAGAAGACAAAGATGAGCCTTCAGCGATCGCGTCCGGCGACCTGATGGCCGAAGATCTTGTTCCAGAATGCCCTCCAGCAAGTGATGGGGAATCCTCCGGATACGCGCCAACAACACCCAGGAGAGAAGAGGAAGCAGAACCAGAGAGTGCAAGCTTTGCACTAACGGCTCAGAAGCAAGCCAAAGAAGCGTGGACGCCGCTGTCGCGCATCAGACGGCTTGCAACCGATCTTCCTGGGGTTGGGGTTCTATACGAATATGCGTGTAGCAGTGACTCATTGATCGGTGACATACTCCCACAATATGGTGTGAAAGTAGTTCGCTTGAACAAAGAGGCCATTGACCTGAGCAATCCACATCACATTCTCCAACTTGTGGGGCAGCTCAAAGCCCAACATGGCGCCGACATATGGATGTCTTTGCCTTGCGGTCCATGGTCCAACCTCCAAGAGTTGAATATCCAGCGTCTTGGTGATTCGTTTCTGGCCGACCTCACGCAAAAGCAGGAAGCATCATCCTACATGGTTGATTTGGCTTTGCAAGTCGGGAGTACGTCATATCCAACAATGGCCGGTTCATTTGGGAATGGCCCACTTACTGTAAGGGATGGCGTCTTCCAAATCTCGTGGATTTCATTGCGAGGCATCGCCTCATGATGGTGCAGTTCCACGGATGCATGTTGGGACTGAAGGGACGGCAGAACAAATGGTTGAAGAAGCCATGGACGTTGGCAACCAACGACCGTCGAGTTGTAGAGCTGTTCGCTGAAATGCAGTGTAATCACAGCCCGAATCAGCATGAACCATGTGAAGGCGGCAATGCTGCAAGAACAGCGTACTACACCGTTCCATTTGTGTCACTCATTGCCGAAGCGCTTTACCCAAAACAGTTTTACACGCAACGCGTCCCAGCAATGTCAGTCAAGACAACCCATATACAAGACAACCTTGTTGATTCTGAAGACGCCTTTGTGTTGATGTTTGGTCTTGTCACAAAAGCCCTCAGCAGAAATGAATGGCTTTCAGATCCAAAAGCCTTAGAGGCCATCAGAAAGGAAAGTGATGGACTCAGGTCAAACCAGACATGGGATGACGAGACCGCCTGCGATGCAGATGAACTCACGCGGCAGTCCAAAATCCTGTCCAAAGACATCAAAGTGGCTGAGCTCCTCATCCTTTGCGGCATTAAGCACGCCGAACTAGATGAGTCCAAACAAAAATACAAAGGAAGGATAGTGTACCGAGGGGACAGTCATGACTCAAAATGGGGACATAGTCCTCTTCACCGAGGTGTCCACATCGCCCACCACAATCATAGCACTCAACATGTGTCTCTGGTGGGGTGCTTTGGATGGACACACCACGTCTACAGCAGACGCTGTACAAGCGTTTTTGCAAAGCTATCTGCCAGAAGATGAGCCGACGTTCGTCATACTACCCAAGCAGCTGTGGATGAGCTCATGGAAAACCAAGTTCCACGGAAGGGTTGCAGTCAGACTCCGCAAGTCCCTTTATGGGCACCCTCGTGCAGGACGCCTTTGGCAGGAGTATCTTGAGACACGTATTGCCAAGCTAGGGGGTACACCAGTAGCGGGTTTTCCAAGCAACTTCATTTTCAACATCAACAGGCATCGCATGATACTAAATGTTTATGTTGACGACTTGACGTTGTCAGGGGCATCTCATCTTCACAAGCGATTTTGGGACCAATTCAGTGAGCTCATCAAAATTGAAGACCCACAAATGCTATCTTCTGATAAATCGGTACTCATTCTTGGTAGACTGCACGAACTCGAGACGCCACGAAAAGTTAAAATATCCATGGTTGGTTATGCTGAGCAGTTCGTGGATCTATACCTTGACATCACAGGATTTGATGTCAAATCACTCCGTCGCGTGGCCACGCCTCACATCAGTGATAGTGGTCTCGCAGATGAGATGTATGAAACCACAGGATCTATGAAGCCGCATTCGGCCAAAGTACTGATGAAAGGACTCTGGCTGGCCCGACTGGCTAGGCCAGATATTTCATACTCAGTCGGAAGGCTGGCAAGCAGAATCACAGTGTGGACACGCTGAAGATGTTCATCTTCACAGGTTGGTGTCCTATGTTCATTGGACCAAGAAGTACTAAATGGTTTTTCAAGCTGGGAGTGTTGAGAGCACGGAGATACATGTGTATGCAGATGCTGATCTAGCATCGTGTGTTCACAGTGCACGCTCTACATCTGGCATGATGATAACCTTGGAATCAGGATCTTCACGCTGGCCGATCGCATGGAACTCGCGACGCCAGTCGTCGGTAGCAAGATCGACAACTGAGGCTGAGACCATCTCCATGGCAAGCGCTGTATACTCCGAAGGACAGCCATTGCTTGATTTTCTAGAACAACTCGTAGACAGGAAGGTCACGATGAAGCTCAAAGAAGACAACTCAGCAACACTAGCAATCTTGAAGAGTGGCTTCTCGGTGAAGCTTAGACACGCTTCAAGAACCCACCGCAACGATGTCGCCAGTTTGGCTGAAACCATCAAAGCTCAAGATATGATCGCTGAGTATTGCAGTACAGATCTTCAAGCAGCTGACGCCTTGACAAAGGTCATTCAGCCCAATGCTTGGGAACGCCTACTGCAACTTCTGAGTGTCTGACCTGCTGCTTCCACATAGTTTGCTGTGTACGTTCCGTCCGCTCGCCGCTCGAAATGAGGGGGGGAGTTAAGTGACACGTGAACGTTTAGTACATAGCATTTCTCACACGTAGCGCTTACGTTTCTTTTGGCTCAAGTAAAACAGTGCGGCGCCCTAGAACTGAACTTTTCGAGAGCATATAATATGTTTGAACATTTAGAGTGCATATGAACATATATTTACGAAAGGTCGCCTCCGAGGGGATAAATCACCATGTCGAACATTGCATTTTTGTTCCTGCCTCTCGCGTTCTCTTCTCTTCCCGCTGTCCTACCTTTCGTGTCTCCCTCCTCTCAAGTATCGGTCAACCTTGTGCCCTTCTTTTATCCTCTACCTGCATCGTCCTCCTCCTGTCTGGCCGTTCGCAACCCTGAGGAACATTGCTATCGGAGCCGCATTGCTTGTTCCTTCTGATGTGCTGGTTTGCTGCTGCTGTTTCTGCTCCTGGCTGTAGCTGGTGTGCTGGGTTGCTGCTGGCGTACTTTAAAGTATTATAGCACTGTAGTAAGTATACTATAGTGCATAATTGTTTGCCGGAAGCATACTTACGGGTCGCTTCGGGCAATTTCCTCGTAGACATCATTCGCAGTGTGTTCATACGCAGCGTATCGCAGTGTTGCCTCTTGCCTTTTTACTAGGACTAGGACCTGCATACTGCGTAGTGGTTTCTACTGGCTTTTGTTCTCCCAGGTTTCGTCGATCCCCTGAGGTTGCGTTACCCATCTTGGAGGCGTCCCTTCCTTTGCTCGCCAAGTTGAGACGACCACAGCTCCTGCTGGACCGGCGTAGGCCAGCGTCATGCGGGTGCGCGTTAGTGTTTATACGGGCCTATCATCCACGGACTAGTGAAAGACTGAGACATATAGCGACAGGAACAAGGAAGGACGGCTTTCGCATGCGTTCGCAGAATCTCAAATGTCCTGAATGAGCGGAGAGGCCTGGCTGACTCTTTCAAACCCGCTACTTTTTACGCTGTTCTGGCATTTGCTTACCCGGCATCAAAGCACTATCTACCGCACTCTATTGCACCAACAATTTTGACATGAGTAACATCTAGTAACTAGTATGGCAATCAATTCGCTGGCTCATTACATCTACAGCATTTGCAGTTACAGTATTTATTCTGGCTGCGACTGTATGCAAATTTTGTCCTCAGGCTTCAGGCCGTTTTCAAAGCCCAGAGCCTCATGTCTGACCGTTTCAGGTAGAACATCGTAGAAGTCTACCCACTCTCTTGAAAAGTTTGACAGACGGTAGAGATGGAATCAGATGGAACGGTTCTTGCATCCTGGTTAAAAAGTTGTGCCTCAAGCACTTGAGGCTCAGCTTGAGCCAAGGAATCATACTGCCGCCGAAAGTGGGAGAGGACCATGAATCAGAATACATTGGCATGTGGCATGTGGATGGACATCGTGAAGATGTGGTAGCTGTGGCCTTGTACCTTGGGCAGAACCACACAAGCGCAATCAGGCGTCATCACGCATCCCCCTTGGAGTTTTCCTCCAGATCTCTCAGCATTCTTGTCTGAGCCAAGCCTGTACATAATTCTGTGTTTGCTTGGTATCTCAGCTGCACTCAGGTACTACTACCATGTGGACTCTGCATTGGAGGGAGGTGACATGGAGTTCTGTGGCCGCGAGCCGTTGGATGTTTTGGCTATTGCCGACGCTGGCGACAACACAAGCTCGTTCGACAAAGCTTCCTTGAAAAAGGCACTTGTTGACAACAAGATCCGCTGCCGTGTGCCCATTTGTGAAGGTGGGGCGGCAAGAGATTTGTGCGCCAACCCATGGCTGGTTGTACTGCGTTTCCGTTTGGTTGCTGGCAGGAACGTTGCTGGTGTTCTCCAATCACCAGTTGGTGCACCGTGTCCTTCGCATGATCAACAAGAGCGGCAGTGAGGCAGGAGTGAAAACAAAAACAATTATATAATTTACAAACAGCGGAATGTGTTGACTCTCAACTAGGGAAAGGCTGAAGCTGCAAAACCCAGCAACATGCTGGGACGAAGGAAAAGAAAGAACCACTTTATGTACACAAGTTCTAGATGATACGTGTTTGTGCGGACGGGTAGATCGTAGATGTGGACATTATCTTCAGACATTGCTACGAAGTTGAGGTTCGATCTGCAAATCGCATCCAATTTCATGAATACGTCCAGCTTTACCCAAGATTTTTCAGTCCACTCCAGTCATCACGGAGCAAGTCAAGCCGAGCGACGGCTCTCACCAAGGCTTCGCGAGATTTTGTGGCCTTGTTCATCCTGAATCCAGCCAGCACACCGCTGGTGCCATCTCGATGCGTTCTTGCAAAGCAACAGATGCTCACGCGGACCTTGCGGCCATCTGGTCTTCCTCCAGAAAACATCCAGGAGAGATTTCATTACACTGATTTACACCTGTGATTTGATTAGACGGATTAGACTTGGGAGAGCTTGTTGGGTGATCTGCTATTCACGTGTGTGACCGTGTGTGAGATTTTCCGCTGGAAACCTTTGCATGAGTGGCATGAGAGTTCGAGATGACTTCGTCGTGCCCGTGACTACTGCCTAATGTAGTCCCTTGATTTATAAACTCCTCCCCCCCCCTCAACAGCCAAGGCCTCCAAAATAATGTATAAGAAAATCAATCAGTTGATAATTAAATAAGGAATCCTTAGCTAGCTACCTCTGGAGCTACTCTGGCAATATTAAATTAAAAGGAAATAAGAATTCCTAACTTTGAAGACCTCTGGCAATACTAAATTAGAATTCCTAACTTTGAAGACCTCTGGCAATATTAATTTAAAAGGAAATAAGAATTCCTAACTTTGAAGACATCTGGAATATTAATGGAATCTCCAGCAAATCTCCATCCAAAAGCCTCCAAAAGCATCAAATCTCAATGGAAATCTTCAAATGTTTAATGGAAATCTCAATCCAAAAGCCTCCAAAAGCATCAAATCTCAATGGAAATCTCAAGTTTTTTAATAGGAATCTCCATCCAAAAGCCTCCAAAAGCATCAAATCTCAATGGAAATCTCCAAATGTTTAATAGAAATCTCCATCCAAAAGCCTCCAAAAGCATCAAATCTCAATGGAATTTTTTTTAAATAGAAATCTCCATCCAAAAGCCTCCAAAAGCATCAAATCTCAATGGAAATCTCCAAATGTTTAATAGAAATCTCCATCCAAAAGCATCTAAAAGCATCAAATATCAATGAAAATCTTCAAATGTTTAATGGAAATCTCCACCAAAAGGCATCCAATCTCCATCAAAAGGCCTTTGAATGATTTTTTGTGTTTTTCAATACGTTTAAATAAGGGATTTTAAAAAGAAAGTGCGCACTGACTTTTGGAAACTTTTGGAAAGCTTCACAACTAAAGAGCTTAGGAAAAGTAAATAAGGAATAGAGGGTGAGTAAAGCAAATCAAAAGGCAAAGAAAAGGAATAAAGATTTAAAGCCTCAAATCTCTAGACATTATTCTAGGGCCCCCCCTAAATAATGTCAGAAAGCTGCTTGCTGGACTACACCCTTTGCTTGAATGCAAATCAAAAGGCAAAGAAAAGGAATAAAGATTTAAAGCTTCAAATTTCTAGACATTATTCTAGGCCCCCCCCTAAATAATGTCAGAAAGCTGCTTGCTGGACTAGCCCCATTTGCTTGAATGATTTTTTTGTTTTTCAATACTTTTGAATAAGGGATTCTATAAAGAAAGTGCGCACTGACTTTGGGAAACTTTTGGAAAGCTTCACAACTAAAGAGCTTAGGAAAAGTAAATAAGGAATAGAGGGTGAGCAAAGCAAATCAAAAGGCAAAGAAAAGGAATAAAGATTTAAAGCCTCAAATCTCTAGATATTATTCTAGGGCCCCCCC